TATATTGTGATAATTTACAATGTAAATATTCCATCAATATGTCATATATATATGTCATATATATATATATATACACACATACACACACACACATCATAATATATTATTATATTGATATTATTCAAAGTATATTGCTAGCATATACCTTACATACAATTTAATCTAAAATATTAACATGCCACTAATATGTATATAGAAGAAATAAATATGTCACATATACTATTTATATACGGATAATTTATACAAATATGCATGTTATATTAGTGCAAAATATAAATGGCATATTAATAATATCTATTTAAATATAAATAAGTGTATAAATAACATATGCATATATACATGATTTTTCCTAAAAAAACACATAATTTTATAATATACCACAAACTTACATTATATTTTTTTTTCACGAAATATATGTATTTTATTTCATTGGAATATACAATATATAATTTTGCTAGGATTAAGTTGAATAAAAAGGTACATGTATAAAAAGGAAAAAATTTGTTATGGAATGGATCAATGTTATATATTTAAATATAAAGACGTATATAAATAACATATGCATATATACATGAATTTTCCTAAAAATATATGATTTATAATGTATATATACCACAAACATACATTATAATTTTTTCATAAAATATATGTATTTTATTTTAATAGAATATAAAGATGTACAATTTGCTACATTACATTATATAAAAAGGTCCATGTATGGAAAGGAAAAAATCTGTTACGGAATGGCTTGGTTTCTAACGAAATCATAAAACATGTTATGGAATGGAGAGAAACAGTAGGGAAAGATATTAAATATTAGGACTGCCTTTTTAAATAACTTGATTCTTGCTGATTTGATTTGAATTAAATCTGCTATATGTATAAATATTTTACTTCCATATTTGTTAATCATTAATTAATGCTAATCTTTTGTATTATATTTTTAATAGTGTGCTATAAATGAAAGTAGCCCCATTAAAAACCTCTTTGAGAAAACCCAATTGGGACAAAACTCGGATGAGGGAAAAAGAGTATGACGCGGAGGGCGTCTGTTTTCAAAAGTTGAAGTATTTGAGATGGGCGACGTTCCAATTGTTTTGTAGTAGTTTTCCCTCCATAGTTTCTAGTTGAAAAGATCCTTTGTTTGTTGCTGTCGTGATCTTATATGGCCTGTCCCAATTGGTTCATAGTTTGCCTTCTCTCGAATCTTTGCTCGCTTGTGTTTTAGCCTTGAGTACATAGTCTCCGACTTTGAGTGGTCGTACTTTGGCTTTTTTGTTGTTGTACCGTTCTACTTGTTGCTTTTAGGCTACCATTCTTATGTAAGCCATGTCTCTTCGCTCCTCTGCTTCGTCGAGGTCCTATTTTCTATTTTTGTCATTGCTCGGCCCACTTTCGTTGGAGTATCTCAAACTGGGTTCACCGACCTCAACCGATATCATAGCGTCAGTCCTGTAGACTAGTGAGTATGGAGTTTCTCCTGTGCTTGTTTTCGGCATGGTGCGGTATGCCCACAGTACCTCTGGGAGTAATTCTGGACATAGTCCCTTGGCATCTTCAAGATATTCAGTATTGTTTTGTTAGAGGATTCGGCCTGACCGTTGTCGGCAGGGTGATATGGTGTGGAGAGTATTCGCTTGATGTGCTATTTTTCGAAGAACTCAGCGGTCTTCTTTCCGGTGAATTGGGGTCCATTATCACATCTGATTTCTTTGGGGATGCCGAAGTGGCATATGATGTTTCTCCATATAAATGTGATAACTTCCTATTCGCGTATTTGGGAGAACGCACCTGCTTCTACCCATTTGGAGAAATAGTCAGTTAAAACTAAAAGAAAATGTACATTACCTCGCCCTGCAGGGAGGGGTCCGACGATGTCCATTCCCTATTTGATGAACGGCCATGGCGATGTAACAGAATGGAGGTGCTTGCCCGCTTGGTGTATCATAGGGGCATATTTTTGGCATTGTTCGTATTTCTTGACATAATCGGCAGCTTCCTTCTTCATTGTGGGCCAATAATATCCTGCTCGAATGAGGCATCTGACGAGGGTCCGATTGCCGGTATGGGCACCGCAGTGGCCTTTGTACTTCCTCGAGTACGCGCCTCATTTGATTCGGCCCCAAGTATTTCGCTAAGGGTCCTCCAAATGTTCTTTTGTATAACTTGTGATTTATGAGGTTGTACCTGGCCTCCTACATTAGAAGCTTTTTGGCTTCTTTTTTGTCTGTTGGGAGTGCTCCTTCCTGCAAATATGTTATAATACGATTGCGCCAGTCCCAAGTCAAATTTACAAAGTGTACCTCGAGTTGGTCTATCGATGAATGGAGGAGGGTGACCACATTTTCCTTCGTGATGTTTTTGGTGGCTGCTGCTAATTTGGCGAGGCCGTCTGCTTCGATGTTTTGTGCTCGAGGTATTTGGTCGAGTCGACATTCGTCGAACTCTGGTAGCAGTTTATGAATTTTTGCTTGGTACCTTTGTAGCCTCTGCTCTTTGATTTGGAAAGTCCCTGTGACTTGGTTGACAACAAGCTGTGAGTCGCATCGAAGGACGACTCGTCGTGCTCCGTATTTGAGAGCTAGCTTTAATCCTGCAATTATGGCCTCATACTCGGCCTCATTTTTAGTCATATCGGGACACCGTATGGACTGGCGAATGACTTCGCCCGTTGGGACCTCGAGTAAGAGTCCCAGTCCAAATCCTGACGCGTTGGATAAGCCGTCACTGTATAGCCATAGGTCGGGTAGACTGGGTAAGGTGCGAGAAGTTTCTTGTTCAACCTTAGTTATTATTTTGGCACTGAAATCGGCGATGAAGTTGGCTAGTACCTGTGATTTTAGTGTCGTTCGCGGTTGATATGTTATATCATGTTCGCTCAGCTCTATGGCCCATTTGGACAATCTCCCCGATAGCTCGGGTTTATGCAAGATACCTCTTAGGGGAAAGGTCATTACCACCGATATGGGGTGGCATTGAAAATATGGCCTAAGCTTCCGTGAAGCTATAACTAACGCCAAGGCTAATTTTTCGAGGTGAGGGTACCTCGTTTCGGCGTCAAGAAGAGTTTTGCTAATATAATAGATTGGAGATTGCGTACATTTATCTTCACGGACCAACACAGCGCTTACCGCAACCTTCGATACGGCCAAATATATAAGGAGGCGTTCACCGGGTTCTGCCTTGGCGAGTAGCGGGGGAGATGACAAATTTGCCTTTAGTTCTTGTAAGGCTTTGATGCACTCTTCATTACATTGGAGCCCGTTGTCCTTTTTAAGCACGTTAAAGAACTTGTGACATCTGTCGGAGGATCTTGAGATGAACCTCGATAGGGCAGCTATGCGGCCCGTCAATTTTTGCACCTGTTTCTTGCTAGTTAACATTTCAGGTATTCCCTCAATGGCCTTGATTTGGTCGGGGTTGACTTGGATGCCTCTTTGTGACACCAAGAAACCGAGGAACTTTCCTAAAGTTACGCCGAAGGCGCATATTTTGGGGTTCAGCTTCATTCCGTATTGCCTCAGTATTCCGAAGGCCTATTTCAGGTGATCGATGTGGTCTTCCTTCCTTTTCGACTTGACCAACATATTATCTATGTAAACTTCCATAGTTTTGCCGAGTTGTTCCTTGAACATTTTGGTTACCAATTTTTGATCAGTCGCCCCTGCATTCTTTAAGACAAATGGCATGACCCGGTAACAGTACGTTCCTTGATGGGTGATGAAAGTAGTCTTCTCCTGGTCCTCTTCCTCCATAAGGATTTGGTTGTAACCTGAATAGGAGTCCAGAAAGCTCAACAACTCGTGCCCTGCCGTTACGTCAATAAGCTGATCGATATGAGGCAAGGGAAAGGAGTCTTTCGGGCAGGCCTTGTTCAGGTCCGTGAAATCTACGCACATTCGCCACTTCCCATTTGTTTTTTTACCATGACTACATTAGCGACCCATTGAGGATACTTTGATTCTCGGATGGAGCCATTGGCGAGTAATTTATCCACTTCTTCGCTGATGGCCTCGTTGATTGCGACGTTGAATTTCTTCTCACTTGTCGTACTGGAGGGTAGAAGGGATCGATGTTTAACTTATGTGTGGCAATGTCTTTTGGAATTCCTGGCATATCTGCGTGGGAAAAAGCAAACAGATCAGCGTTATCAATAAGAAATTTATGAAATATACCAGGCTCGGAGAACTTATGGCCTATATAAGCTTTTTTGCTGCTGTTGTTATTGTCTAATTGGACGGGATCAAGGTCTTCTATTGTCAACCCTGTTGCTTCCACAATGTCGGGGTCCTGGATAATGTCTTTTCGATCGCATGGCTCGGACCCCGACTTTGATAATTGCTATACTTCTGAGTTTGTTCCTTTAAGCTGCTGAGTGAATGTGGAATCTTGCGCGATGCGGTAGAATTCTTGGGCTGTGCGCTGTCCGGCTCGGATGCTCAATATCCCCATGGAGTTGGGAATATGATTACTTGGTACAGGCTGGACGGGATGGCTCTCATGGCGTGTATCCACGGTCGTCCTATTATTGCGTTGTAAGCTGTGTCTTGGTTCATGACGTGGAACGTGGTTTCTAGGGTGACGCCCCCGGCCAGAACGGGCATCGTTATTTCTCTTGAGGTTCGCTCGACTGCATTGTTAAAACCCGTCAGTGTTATGCAGCGTGGTATTATCTTGTCCTCGAGTCGCATTTGTGGAAGAACTCGAGGGTGGATAATGCACACGCCGCTTCCCTCGTCTACCATTATTCTTTTAACATCAGTATCTGAAATACGTAAAGTAATGACGAGAGCATCGGAGTGAGGAAAGATCAAACCGTTGGTATCTGACTTATCGAAGATGATACTTTCTCCGAGGTCATCATACAACTCGTGGGTGATTGACTCATTTAGCTTGTGCGGGGTAATAAACTTTATGTGGTTGATTGCTGTTTCGCCGCCTCCACCAATGATCATTTAAATGGTGCGGGTAGGAGAGGGCGGCTTTGGAGGGTGTTGGTGTTATTCTCGTCCGCGGCCCAAGTTGGCTCGTCCTCGGTCACTCATCAGCTCCTTCAGGTGTCCTTGGTTTAGCATGTTTACTACTTCTTGCTGTAGGGCTATGCAGTCTTCGGTTTTGTAACCCCACTCCTGGTTAAACTGACAAAAGACGTTTGACTTTCGGGTACTTGGGTCGGACTTCATCTTTTGCGGCCACTTCACCTTTGTGCCAAGCTTTTCTAGTGTGTACACTACTTCTGAAGGAGAAACACAAATATTGTGAGCCGATAATAGTGGAGGCATACCTCTTTCGTTTCGCTGAGTCCCTGTGTGTGGTCTGGACGGCCCTTTCGCATGCCGAGGGGGTGGTGGAATGGCTGTTCTGACATAGGGTTGATGCCTGTCTCGATTGAGGCGTAGGCCTGATAGCTCTTTTCGACTGTCATTACGCCGGTCTTTCTTCGGCTCTGGTTGGATTGACATTAAACGTTGGGTTGGTTCGTTAAGGTCGTCATCGTCTGCTCTCACCTCGGCGCAGTAAGCATTGTGGATTTCTTCCCAAATGGTGGGAGGGTATTTCATAAGCCTACTTAACAACTTCCTGGTCGCCCTCGACCCATTCTTGTTCAACCCGTTTTGGAAGGCTGCTACCACCATCCCCTCTGATACATTAGGTAAGCTCATTCTCATCCTGTTAAACCGAGCGAGGAAGTCCCTGAGTCCTTGGCCAGGCGATTGCCTAACGGCGAATATGTCATTTACTCTTGCCTCCGCTTTCTTAGCTCCGGCGTGGGTGGTGACGAACTTGTCTGCCATTTCCTCGAACGTTGCTATAGACCGGGTTGGTAGTTGTGAGTACCAAGTTAGGGCTCCTCCGGTTAAGGTTTCGCCAAACCTTTTTAAGTAGTGCTGATGGTACTTGCTCCTTTGATAGGTCGTTGACTTTTACTGTTGTGACGTAAAGAATGATGTGATCTTCTGGGTCTGTGGTGCCATCGTATATCTTCAAATATGGTGGCATTTTGAAGGTCTTGTGTATGGTATGTGGGGCTGCCTCCTTGCTATATGGTTGTTCGACGAGTCGGTCGACATCCCGCTTTGGTAGCAGTCTCGGGGCGCCTGATATCTTATCGACCCTTTCTTTATGTTCTCTCATATGGTCGCGGAGTGCTTTATTTTCGTTTTCCATTTCTTCCATTTTCTTCAAAATGGATGTCAGTGCATCATTGCCTGCATCAATAATGGTGTGAGTGTTACCTGTTGGGGGAGCTAGCTGTTCACCGGTGGTCGTTATGACATCTGCCGGCGTGACATTTCGGTTCGCCCTTTGAACGGGTTTGTTGAGTATGTTATAGAGGGTACCTATCAGCTATTACTCCTCTAGTGACTTCTTCACTGCTGGTGGTGCCTCCTCAACCGTGGATGTAGAAGTTCCCCTTTCGCGTGAGGCGGTTACGCTTGCGTGAGGGGGAGGTGAATCACTCCGCCTGGGTGTGGCAGTTGGTATTACATTCTCATTGCCTCCTCTGTTATCCTCGTTGATGGTGTCTAAGATGTTGGTAGTGACACCCATTATTGCTTTATGTCTTTCATCTCCTTTTCCTGTCATAGTTAGGCCCCCCTTTTTTTGATCTAGAAGAAACTAAAATTTTAACTAAAAACTCCCCACAGACGGCGCCAAATTGTTTGACCAAAAAGTGTTGAACCTTTTAGTTAAATCAATTAATGATGAGATGAAGGGTGAATCTTAGTTAAGGATAATAAAATCTAGATCAAATATTATGTGAAGTCGGTAAGATAAACAACGTTAATCAGTGTGTTTGTGCTGATTAAATGCTCATGAATGCAATACCATAAATGTGCAATAAATGTAGATAATGACAATGAATGTAACAAAAAGGAATATACCACCCAATTATTATAAGACTTGGATGGCTCTTTTCCCTGACAGCAGCGTGGAGAAAAGAGAAATAAGGAGGGTTGAGGGACTCTTGGATCCGTTGAGTAAAAGAAGCAAAACGTGTGCTTGAATAAGATAATCAATGAACAAGACAACTGTTGTATATTCTCTCAGGTCAACCTTTTACAGTGTGTTTTTCTCATAATGTGAAGATCCCCTTTTTGTTCTCTATCTCTTCTATTTATAAGGGATATTTCCCAAAAACCCTAAAAAGTACAAAATAAGGAATATCCAAGGAATATTCCTTGTGTCCATATCTGAACTTAAGCTACCGTTATTTCTTTATCTCGGCTGCCCGTCTTTGGCATCAGCCTTCTCAAGAGCAGCCTTCAGCTATTACACCGCGGTCGATCCCGTTCTTAGTCTCGCTTATCCATGACTGCCAAGTCGCCAAATTTAGGCCAATACAATACTTGCAATTATTTGTGAGATATGTATGACATGTGCACCAACAAAGAATGCTCTTTGTTGTATGTAATGTGCTATCTATGTGACCCACTGTATACTCTTCAGTACATGTGAGCATATAAGAACTAGGATGTAAAGAATAAATAAAGATTTCTATATATTAGGAAAGCTCAAGTTTCGACATGTCTGCTTCATGTCATCTAAATCAAAAGTGAGGGTAGTTTTGACATTTCGCTAACCTTTATGAGTTGTTTGCTCTCCTCCGATGACATGTAGCTTCTTCCAATTTTTCCTCCTAATATTTGTCGCTCCCTTTCGGTGGCACAGATCCTCTTCCAAAATTTTCTCCTAATTTTTAACGCTTTCGTTCTGATTTCTTATTCAAATTTCTACATATTGATTCCAGCTTCTCTTTGCAGCATATGAGATCTATGATTGTTGCTTGATTTTTTCTTGGTTTGATGAGCCGTCTCTGCTTAGTAATGGGACTTTGGTAGGTATTACTTTTTGTTTCTTGCTCTATTTTGTACATGCATCCAATAGTTGTATCTCATTTAATTTGAAAATAGATACATAGATGTATATTTCTGATATAGTATTGTTTCTCATTTTGCTTGGGTAAGATTGTTTTGGGAGTAAATGGGTTCTTCAAGGATGAAATTAGCAGTAAAACTGTGATCGTATTTTCTCTGTGATTGTTGATCTGGAATCTTTATTCTGCTCATGAAGTTATGTTAATATGTGCTTTTGGTCCCCATTCAGTGAATATGTTATTTGACATATGATCCATACATTTATGATTTTTTCCCCTTCTTTTCTTCATATTTTTTTGTGTGAATGTGATTGTTTTTCAAATATAATAATGAAACATAGAAGAATTTTGATGCAGTCAACGCATTTGACGATATGACCGAAACAACTGAATAATTTTTATCCTTTCTGTTTCCACAGGTATTCAGTAACATACATATCCATCATCCATTAAGCAAAATGTACATTATTTACTTTTATAAAATTAGTAAACAATATAGTATATGTTATGTGTTGTTTGTCGGTCATGTTAAAGAAATTATTCTTCCATTTGCTTCCAATATATATGTATTACATTATTGGTACTATTTGCTTCACTTTCATCAACAACAGAAGTATTAAATTATAAATAATTCGACAAATTTATAAGTTTTTGGAACAGAACTACCTACATACAAAGACACTATGGATTGAGTAACTAAATCTCAATCGAAGAGGAAACGACGACTCTCTCAGTATATACTTTGAGGGGCTTCGAGTCTTTTTTATTTCATGTTAATGTTCATTAGTTAGGACGTGCTATGGTTGTGGTATGCTTGGTTTCTCATCATCTGTGTAGATACTGTTAGTGATTGATGCTTTTCAATAAATTAATATACATATATTCATGTTCTTTGCTGCCGGTGGTTGATGCTTTTGAACCGAGGTAATTGGTAACTCTTGCAATATCCCATGCCATTGACATCATTACCATAAATGTATTATTGGAAACTCATTTTGTAAGTCGCATATTAGAGTTGAGAAGATGACGTTCTTTACTATGTGTTTTTCTCGACGAGTAGAGCATCTTATAAATTCAGTTTTTAGGAATCTAAGATATTTAGATTCTAATGAAAATCAAAAGAAATTCATTTACAAGGAAAAAAAAAACATAACCAACAGACATACAAAGGTACCGGAAACAATATTAGCTATTTCTTCTACTTTGGAGGATATCCACTATTTATTCACTTTCTCTTAAAATATACAAATTTCTTACTTTGTGGAATAGAGAGTTGATAGACGGAATATTATCTTTGCTGGAAATAGTAATAAATGCCGGCAATGGATTTTGTTGAAAAATAAGGCTCATTGAGCAAAATATATTATTGCATTATACCAGTATTTGACCAAAAGTTATTGAAACATATTGCAGGGTAAATTGATAGTTTCTACATATACGTTACTGGAGAAATATGAAATTGACATCCCATTAAGATTTATATCTTTTGTAAGCACTAGAATGCAGGGGTTGGCTTGCTGGTTTGAAGTACTTCCTCTGTCCTAATTTATGTGATACAGTTCGGAATTGAGTGCCGAACTTCTTAAATTTGACCATGAATTGGGACATAAATATTTTTAAGGTTTAAAAATAAAAATACATATTTTGAAACTATATAAAGAGTATTGTAAGTTACAATAATTAAGAAGCTAAAATATTGAAAAGGTATATGCAAATATCATGGTTAAATGAGTTTATGAGAAGTTTCGGGTACGTAAAAGGGCTTTAGCAACCTCCCCTGTCTTTTAATACCAAAATGTGAAAGAAATATGGTATTTAATATTTATGAGACCAAGAAAAAATATCATAAATAGATAAAATTTCTTTACTAAAAGAGCTAAAGTAATTTATTCGGCATCAAAATCATGTGAAGCTCTATATATTTTGAAACATCGGTGATTATGTAATTTCACCTGTACAATATGTTACAGATGAAAAATAACATTACATTAAATATATAAATTACTTGTACAACATGTTATTGATGGAAAATGACCTAGCATTAACGTCTCTGGTTTTAGAACTTCTAAGCATTGCCTTTGAAAGTTGTGCTACAGTTCTCTGTAGTACCTTAAGTGGTTTCAGAGAGTTGGTCATTTATTATTTCTGTTTCCTACTTGAAATTTACTAACAATCAAGTAAATATGAAGTTCAACCCTGTTTTTCCTTAATTCATCTTTAATTCAATCCAACTAAATTGCTTATGTCTTGAAAATGCACATGTTAATTGCCTAGGTTTAATGGCTATATTTAACTTTTTTATTAGCATATAGTTGCGATGAAGAAGGGCTACGATATTGATGCAGAAATTTAAAGCTCTACATAAGATTATTAAGGATATGCCTAAGACAAGGTTGACAGTGTTATTATTTCTAATTGTGTCATGGACTATTTAAAGTTGTTTTATTATTGCTGCATGGGGAATCTTGTGAAAGCTAAAGCTCTAAATGGTTCTAACATAGATGGATAATTTCTAACAAGAAGATAATGGAGATCAACATACACAATGCCATCATAAATGAGTTCAGGCAATTCTACTGTTCAATGGTTATCTTTACTGATGTTGATAACAATGATGATAAGTCAGTTATCAAGAAAAGGTATGATATGTCTGAGGATTTTTCCGGGTGCTGCTTGAGACTACTTCTCTCACCTTATCTTTCAGACTTAATCGTCCCAATGCAAAAGTGAATATAATTGTATAATTCTCAAACTCGGCCCAGTTTTGATAAGGATCTAGAGATGATAATGTAGCACATCTTGAAGTTACACAAACGTGTGAGACAATGTATCTTTATGCCTTTTCAAAATATAATATTATCTTTCTTAAAACAACAATAAAGTTGTTTGGTTGAGAAGTGAAAAAGAAATATCAGG